AAAAAAATGTTAATAAAAATGTATTGATATAATGTGAAGTTTTTCAATGACATAAATATAAATTTCCCATACTGCCCTTTTAATACCACTATTTCTCATTCTCTTTATGTTGTGGAAAAAGAGATAGGAGAGGTACTTTACGCCAATTTTTTTGAGAATAAGGGCAAGTGGAATGTGCATTAAAGATTTCAACATTACATCATATATATTTTAACGAGGATCGAAAATATGCTAATTCAGAATTATTATCCCAGAATAGGCAAATCAGATTTTTATCCTGCAGGTGGTACATTTCATAATTATACTAGGCGATCATGCAGATTATGTTTCATAAAAAAAAAAAATAAATTATATAATGAATAAGTTATGTATAGATTTGGCTAAATATAGTTGAGATAAATATAATATTCAATCAAAGTCTATTTCCTTGCATTTTTCGTGCAGAAGCGATCCCTTTAAGACCAGCCTAGAATACTTCTATATTTAGTTATAGGGCAGTAAATAACAAAATCGATTTTTTGTGTACTTTTTATAATAGCTAATACTACTTAACAATTCAATCAAAAACCTTCCTGAGAAATCAGGATTAGATCCGTATACCACCTTATCTAACCGTCGTCTTAACTGATGTTTCTTAGCTTCTATCCATCTACTAGGGGAACAATAAACATATTCCTCATATGGTGGAGTAGATTTGGCTGGATCGATTATTCCAATATACTGTGAGTAATGTTTCTTAAATAAAGCATAAAATTCATCACAGGCTATAGCATACTCTTCTTGCGTCTCAGGATTTTTTACCATCTGTCCTTTACTAATCATACCTAAATATTTCTTTCTATCAGAAGTACCATCATTTCTCACCATATTCCAGTCTCGCTGTGCCCTCGTCTCAGGTCCTAACTTATAACTCCACCAAGCCTGTTGGATAGCTCTTGCACTATTTAAAACGCGATATACCATTCTTTCCGTAAATTCTGGCCAATTAGGATAATGACCTTCATAGCTTTTTTTGTATGCTAAATAAACATTATAAAGCTCACCAATCTCATCGGAATTAAGTCCTTTTTTAATTTTTCGTTTCAATAATATAGATCTAATATATACGACACGCCTTTACTCTATTCTGGCAATGCATTTATTCAGATGCTTATCTGCGCATTTCTCAGTATTTTCAAAGATAAATACTAAGGAATTACATGCAGTACAATAAATATGAAATGTACGTCTTCCAGGTTCAAATTTTCCATTTTTATATAATCTATCAGTCATATGAATATATTCATTCTTTAAGAAGATTCTGGGGTTATATTTAAGAAGTTTCTTAAATGGAACACAAATACGGGAACACCACATTTTTGGCGTTTCATCATTATATCTGTAATGCAGATTAGTTATTGCTTGTACTACTATAGGATTTAAATCAGGATAGTTAGTTTTAACCATTTTACGGATATAGGATAGCAGTTTAGTGATTTATAGCGTTTTTATCAATTTTAATGACTTATAGTGATTTATAGCAAGTATATGATAATAAAATATCAGATTCATTTTTATTC